TTAGAACTTTCCACATCAAGTGCAACATAAAAACAAATTCAAATTCCTTAATCTTAGTCATAAAGCTTTCAGCAACAAGTCTATCGGCATAATTTGGACCCTCACGAGCAACAAATTCAAGAACATGAATAATTGATGAAAATAGGACAATGAGGTTATTTAACGTTCTATAATGAGAACCCCAACGAGTATCACCTGGTTGTTGAAGCCCACGTTCTTGATTTAGTCCTCGTCCAGTATGCACCTCACCTGATATGAGCAACTCCTCTAATTTTTCAGCTTGATGTTGTCGAAGCAAATCCTTGCGCTTAAAAGATGATCCAACAATATTTAACACATTAGTAACTATACAAAAAAAGTCATCTACATCTGAATGCTTCTTTGCAAGAGCCACAAGTGTTAACTGCAATTGGTGGGGAAAATAATGAATGCAATACGCCGATGGAGTTTCATTCAGAATCAAAGTCTTAAGACCACGTAGCTCTCCCTGCATGTTACTAGCTCCATCATAACCTTGCCCACGTATTTGAGATGGACTTAATGAGTGATATGAAAGAAAAGAGTCGATTTCCTTCTTCAATGATTGAGCAGATGTATCATTGACATGAACAATACCAACAAATCTCTCAATTACTTCGCCTTCTTTGTTAACATATCTCAAAACAAGTGTCATTTGCTCCTTGTGTGATATATCCTTTTATTCATCAACTAGTATCCCGAAAAAATCCCCATCCAAGTCTTCAATGATAGCTTTGATTGCTTCTTTGGCACAAGCATCAACAATATCTTTCTGAATCATTGGGGAACACATCATTTCATTTTTTGGAGCATTTTCTAATATAATACTTCCAATATCCGGATCAATATCTCCATACCATTGCAAGAGTTCAAGAAAGACACCTCTATTTGTAGAAGATTGACTCTCATCGTGCCCACGAAATGGCAATCCTAGTCTCAAAAGAAACCTAGCCACATCGATTGAAGCACTCAAGCGACGTCGAGACTCACTTTTTTCTTTCTCGGATTGCTTTTCAAAAGAAGTGCGAATTGATTGTGATTGATTCATTAAATCAATCATCCTATTGAAACACTTGTTGTGGATGCTATTTACCTCTCCAACATGAGCTCAAAATCTTTCTATAGCCTTGTTCCAACCTTTAAAGCCATTTTTTGTAAAAGCATCCCCCATATTTCCATGAATTACATGTTCATTTTTGAATAAATAACAACACAAACAATATGCAGCATCTTTTGATATACTGTACTCCAACCACTTTGAATGTTGAACCTTAAACCAACCAGGATAAAACTGACGCATTGTCTTCCCAAACTTAGTTTTAGGAAAATCATGACTCGTAGGCTGGCAAGGTCCCATTTGAATATAATGTCTTCTAAGTTCATCTCGTATATTAGGGCTATATTCTGCAATGGACTTCCTATCCCCCGGGTCAGTATTGGGAGATCCTAAATTATGATCTGAAAGAGATATATCCCTTTGAATTTCCGGGGCTACGGATGACGCAACAGATGAATGAGTAGAACTAGAACTTGGTTGCCCAACTTTTGATCTTGTGACAAACTTATCCATCTCGACACAAAAAATTGATGAAGAATTCCTACAAACAAGATTTAGTTCAATTTAATTTCATCCGAAATTTACTACACATAATTTAATTAATTTTTATCGGGAAAACCATGCCCCTCAATCAACAACACAAACAACACGGCAATAACAATATAACTATTTAATTTTTCGAAAGAAAAGATAAAAACTTACAAATTTCTGAAGCAATGAGTTGATGAGCACAATTTCATCAATCGCACAACCCACCAATATTACTAACCTGCATATATTCTCAAAATTAAGTTTTGGAATCAAGCAAGTTGGTAACAAAGATAATATTTTTCATTGAATCTGCTTTCAAAGAATAAGCTATAAGCATGATAAAATTCAAAATACTTCTAAGAATATTTTTAATTTCTTACTTTAATAAAAACACCAAATCTTATTACCTTGTGCTATGTTCTGATAATCTGATTTTGAGATTGTTGTGAATGACCGGAGAGTTTGCTGATTGTTTCGTCTACTTTGTTCTTCGTTTTTCCCTTCTCTACGTTCCTAATGAGCAAAAATTCAAGAAGGGTTTAGTTTTAAACTTTTCTGTAAGACTGTAAAGATGGCCTTTCTTATACTTAAATCTAATTAATTATTAATATAATAAAGCCTAAAGGTGAAAGGAAGTAGGAAAAGGAAAAACTAAAAACTAAAAAAGGAAAATTTAGTTCAAAAGCAGAGAAAGGTTAAAAACTAAAAAGATAGGAAAACGTAAAGGGAATACAAAAAGTTAAACTAAAACGTAATCTGACAATCTAAACTAAAACCTAAAGGGAATAGGAAAAGTTAAAAACTTTTCCATAAAAGACAAAAAGCTGACATTCAAAAATATAAAGGCAGTGCTGTGACAGGAATCGAACCTGGGTCTTTGCTTTCAGAAAAGGTTTTAACTCCCACTTCAGAACCACAACACCCATCAGTCATTTTGTTTATTGGGTGCTCACTAAAATGTTATATCCTATTTCTTATATTTTTATTATAGCTATACCTAATTTACGTCAAGGTTAATGGGTGCTTGAGCACCTAAAACTAGCATGTAAATCCGCCCCTGGTGGTGAGAGACAGCGGACGGCGAAAGATGTGGCTTTGAGAGGAGTAACGGCTGGAGGTGATCTCTCTAGGTTTTGGTTCTGAAGAAGATGGGTGGGGAGCTGGTTGTTTTGGGAGTTGCGGCTAGTTTTGGTGTTGGAAGTTGGAGAAGAGATCAGGGGTCGTTTAGTGTGAGGTCGTTCGTGGAGGATGGCGACTGTGGTGATATTTGCTTAGGAGTTCAGGGGGTTGTGGGCGGTTTGAATTTTGGTGCGAAGAAGAAGACGTTCAGGGGGGTCTCCTATGATGAAAAACGACTGATCCAAACTTAGACTCCGGGGTTCTTTTAATGTCTAGGTCTAGGGTTTCAGGGGTATTGGGCTTGGGTTGCTATGGGTTAGATCCAAATTGGGCTAAATACGGGCCAAATTTACCTTTAAAAATGGCCATTTAACTCTACTAGACTAAAAAATATTAATTCCTAAAATAATAACTATAAAATTATGAAATCAATCCTAATTAAAATAAATTACTAGAACAAAACTAAATACTAAAAGTGAAATTATTTTTGTATATTTTTTAATTTTATGAAAGATAGATAAACTAAAAGTAATAAAATATCAATTAGCTAAATAAGAGAAAATATTTTTTGTAGTTTTCATTCTTGTGATAAAATAAAATAAAAGAGTCAAAACTAATTGAAATAGCGATATTAAGCCTAAACTAAATATTTATATGCTAAAATATGTAAAATCTTGGGGAGGGTCAAAAATCACATATCTACAATAACAACTCCCACTAAAAGTTGTAGTATGCATGAGTCCACATAAACCAGCATGTATGAATTCAAGACACTTTGAAGCCCTCCAAACCTTTCCAACAGGAAAAGACTTTCTAGTTCGTTTCCCATAAATGCATCCTTCACACAATTCAATAGAGCCAATTTTAGGTAGTCCAAGAACTATACTTTTATCACTTAGTAATTTCAGGCCTTTTATGTTGAGATGCCCGTATCTCAAATGCCACAACTTTGAGTTATCCATTGTACTTGCAGCGAGAGAAAAATTCTCCAAATTAAAAACATCCAACGGAAACATCTTGTTTGGAGTCATGCTAATATGAACCTTTTTTCCTGACTTTCTATTTGTAATGACACAAGCATCGTCTTCAAAGAAAAGAGAATATCCGCCATCCATTAGTTGTCCAACGCTTAATAAATTGTATCGTAAATCAGGCACGAATTGAACGTTATCCAGCATTTTTACTTTTCCATGGCTAGTGTCGACACTCATTGTGCCTTTTTCCTTCAACCTACATCTCCTCTGTGTTGCCAAGCTACACTTTTATTTTTTTGCATCTCATCAAGCTCTTTGAACAAAGATTTGGCGCCCGTCATATGATTTGAACAACCACTGTCCACAAACCATAAATCACTTGGCCTATGGTCGTTGTGAATATGAGCCATAAAAAGCTTGTTCTCTTCTTCCTCATTCCCTGTTGCTCCTGCTGCAAAGTTCATCTTCTGATCTTTGAACCAACAAATTGCTTTAATATGCCCATATCTATGATAGTGGTTACATTGAATACCACTCTTATTGCTATTTTGTTCATTGGACTGTCGTTGCCCGTCAAAACAACCTCTGCCTCTTCCATTGCCTCTACCATTGCCTCGACCGCGACCATGAAATCCTCCTCTTCCAGGGCCTTTACCTGCTGAATATTCACCATCTGCATTTTTCGTGGCTGCCTCTTTCACTTGAAACGATTTTTCTTTATTCTTTTTAAGTGATCGATTAATTCTTGCCTCATGTGCTTGCAAAGAACCCATTAGTTCATCAAAAGAAAAAGTTGACAAATCCTTAGACTCTTCTACGGCGGCAACTACATGATCAAATTTTATATTTAAGCTTCGCAATTCCTTTCCAACAATGGTCTGATCTGTAACATTCTAGTCGTAGGATCGTATTTGACTGATAATTGCCATTGCTCTTGACAAAAAATCAGCAGCGGATTCTCCACGTTTCATCATCAATGTTTCAAAGCCACGCCGAAGTGACTGTAGTCTCACCACAATGACCTTTGAATCACCTTGAAACTCTTTCTGCAGAATAGACTAATCTTGCTTTGATGTGGTCGTTGTTGCGATCTGTGATAAGACGCTATCATGAACAGCCTACTGAATCATCACCAATGCCTTAGCGTCTTTCTTCTTGTTGTCTCATAGTTTATTTTCTTCGTCTCATCTCGATTTGTGTGTGTTGTCCGGGCGTATAGGCGGAAAGCTAATATGTGAAAATCCGTGAAAATGGTAAATTTTGATTATAAAATGAATTAAGTTGACTTCGGTCAATATTTTGGGTAAACGGACCCGGACCCATGATTTGACGGTCCCGGAGGGTCCGTAGGAAAATGTGGGACTTGGACGTATGCCCAGAATCGAATTCCAAGGTCCCAAACCCGAGAAATGAATTTTTAAATAAAATTATTTTCTGAAAATATTTATGAGATTTGGAAATGAATTATGATTAGAACTCGATGGTATCGGGCCTGTATTTTGGTTCCGGTGCCTGGTACAGGTCTTATATGTGATTTAAGATAAGTCTGTGAAATTTGGTAAGAAGCGGACTTGAAACTACGTGAATCGGATTGTTTTTGAGAAAATTGAAAATTTGAAGTTCTTAAGAAAATTTCATGATTTTGATGTTAAATTCCTAGTTGTTCATGTTATTTTAGCGATTTGAATGCACGAACGAGTCTGTATGATGTTTTTAGGTTGGTATGCATGTTTGGTTTGGAGCCCCGAGGGCTCGGGTGAGTTTTGGGTAGGCCACAGGGTGAATTTTTGGACTTGAGGATTGCAGACTTTCAGTTGTGCATTGCACGCCTGCAGGCTTCGCATGCGAAGACCTCATCGCAAATGCAATCAAAGGCCCAGGCTAGCTACCTCGCAATTGCGAGGAAATCTATCGCAAATGTGATGCCTCCCCTCCTAGCCAGTAGTCGCAAATGCGATCCCTTGTTCGCATTTCCCAACTCACAAATGCGAGAACCCCCTTCGCAAATGCGAACCTAGCAGAGATCGGGGTTCGTAATTGCGAACCCTGTTCGCAATTCCCATACCTGCAACTTGTAATTTTTATACTTAACCAAAAATCAACCATTTTTCACATCCTTTCAATACACAAACTCCCTAGGGCGATTTTTCAAGAATAACTCTTCTTCCAAATCAATTGTAAGTCATTTTTAACTCGTTTCATTCAATCATTAACATCTTTTAACATGATTTCAACTCAAAATCAATGACTTTCATGGGGAAATTGGGTGTTTTGGGTAGAACCTAGGTTTTTCAAAAATTGGGGATTTGGACCTCGATTGAGGTCCGATTTCAAAACAAATTGTATATTTGGGTTCGTGGGGAATGGGTAATCGGGTTTTGGTTCGAACTTCGGGTTTTGACCATGTGGGCCCGGGGGCAATTTTTGACTTTTTGGGTAAAATTTTGGAAAATTATTTTCATGCATTGGGGTTGATTCATTTAGCATTTATTGATGTAATTAAGTAACTTGTGGCTAGATACGAGCGAATTGGTGGTGAAATCAAGGAGTAAAGCGATAATTAAGACGTGAATTGTGTTCGTGACATCGAGGTAAGTGTTTGGTCTAACCTTAGCTTGAGGGATTAGGAGTTGTGTCCTATTTGCTACTTGTTTCTTGTTGAGTACGACGTATAGGTATGGTGACGAGTATCTATACGTTGGTGTCGAGCATGACCGTGAGTCTTAAATTGTGATTTATTGTGTTCTTGAATAATACTACGGATGCTTAAGTTGATGATTCTTTGTATTGAGCAAGGATTATGGTTATTCTCGTGGAAATTACTTATGACGGAGTATTGGTGTTAGCTGAGGTAGTTAGATTTTGGAACAAGTTTGGTTATAGCTGTTTCTCCCTTGCCGGGACGTAGTTACTTATACTGTCGATTCCCTTGCCGGGATAGCGTAGTTATTTATTGATCTATTGTTGGGACTCTTGTTATGATTGTTGTTTATTGTATATGTGGATTAGGTTGCACGCCGCAACAATATTATATGTGGATCGAGTTGCACACTGCAAAAATATTATATATGGATTGGGTTGCACGCCGCAATAATATTATATGTGGATCGGGTTGCACGCTGCAACAATGATATATGTGGATCGGGTTGCACGCCGCAACAATTGTTGACACAAAGTGTTTATAGATTGGATAGAAGTTACTTATTGTTTTGCCGTGAATTCTAAGTTGTCCTTATGCTGTTACTCTTGATTTACTGTTGATATTGATGCACCCCCACAGCATGTACCCCCTCCCATCTTTACTTGTCTATTCCTATTTTATTATCTGCTATATATTACTCCCTCTGTTTCAATTTATGTGAACTCATTTAACTGGGCACGGAGTTTAAGAAAAGAGAGAAGACTTTTGATCTTGTGGTATAAAATGAGACACATATATTTTGTATGGCTACAAATCATTGTGTAAAGGTAAATTGTTTCCAAATAAGGAAAGAGGTCATTCTTTTTGGCACGGACTAAAAAGGAAATAGGTTCACATAAATTGAAACGGAGGGAGTATATAACTGCACAGGTTCATTTAGTAGTCTGGTCCTAGCCTCGTCACTACTTCGTCGAGGTAGGCTAGGTACTTACCAGTACATGGGGTCGGTTGTGCTGATACTACACTCTACACTATGTGCGAATCTCGGAGTAGTTCTTGGACCATAGCATTTGGGTGGCTACCTTCAATCCACGCAGAGATCCAAGGTAGATCTGCAGACGTCCGCAGGCCCTGGCGTCTCCTCTATCCTTTATTTCCTGTTTCATTTCTTTGATTCGAAAATAATGTATCTGTATTTTCAGACTTTATATTTAGCACTCTTAGATCGTCTGTGGTACTGTGACACCAATTCTAGGTGATTAAGGCTTAAACAGTTGTATTAGATTCATATTTCAGATATTTTACTACATTTCCTCCGCTTAATGAAATTTCCGTTGTTTTTCACATTATTGCATTATAAATGCTAAAAAGGTATAAAAATGGATAAATGTACTCTATTCAACAACTGGCTTGCCTAGCTCAAATTAGTAGGCGCCATCACGACTCCCAAGGATGGAAAATCCGGATCGTGCCAAGTTGGTATCAGAGCTCTAGGTTACATGGGTCTCACAGTTCACAGACAAGCTTAGTAGAGTCAGAGGGATCGGTACGGAGACATCTGTATTTATCCCCTAGAGGCTACAGAGTTAGGAAAAACTTCACA